AGAAGAGAAGAGAAGAGAAGAGAAGAGAAGAGAAGAGAAGAGAAGAGGAGAGAAGAGAAATGAAATGCAGGAGCTCAGGCCTCACCCCCAGACCTACTGAGTCTGAAACAGCATGTTGAGAAGATTCCCCAGGTGAGTCATAGACACATCAGAATACGAGAATCACTGCTCTACAAAAACAAAAAAAAAACAAAAAAAAAAAAACAACCTTCCTGTTTAAGTCATCAGGTATGTAAACTGGAGTTGACATTATTTAAATCATACATGTATGCATTGCGTTCTCAATAAAAAATAAAACTACTTGAAATGATATAGTATAATAATAGAAAAATACTTACATAAACCTTTTAAAAGATGTTTAGGTGCTATTTATTTCCCTTCAGCACAGGTAGCAAAGAGCAAAAACTATAGTTGCGAATGAGGTTTCTAATCCTTTAGAATGAAAAAAAAATTCAAATAAATTCCAATGCTAAAGTTTCAAATGAACTCCAAATGCCACCCTGTATTAAGGCTTAACATTAAACAGGCTCCAATAATGGCATAATATAGATACATAGCTATAATCAATTATTTTTTAATTTTGCTAAATTGTTCTTGTTTACTCTAGATTTGAATTTAATCAAATGTAAGCTCTGTGATAATTTTATCAAGGTACACTTTTTGTATATAGGGGTGTTTTGGGTTTTTTTGTTTTGTTTTGTTTTGCTTTTTTGGTTTGTTTTTTCCTGGCTTAAACCCTAGATGCTATTTTAAAGCATGGACTGAAATCACCTGCGCTAGTAAAAACAAACTCCCACCACCAGCATTTTCCATTTCTGCTGGCTGCACAATTGAACTGCTTATGTATCCTGGCTCTGCTGTAAAGAAATTTTGGGCTCAAATCCCAGGATTGATTCCACTGCAACAGGATTGTCAGCTACAGAATTCTGTAAAAGTTTCCTTCCTTCTACATTTATTTAACCCAAAGATTTGAAGTCTTGGTCACCTAAAGTTTTGCACTAACCAAAATTTCACAGGATAACTAAGAGAAGCAGAAGAGGTGGCTGAATCAATTTTGTTCCCATATTCTGAACATATTCACAGAACAGAAAATGTATCTATTTGATAACCCAGAAAGCTATACAGTATATTCTATAAATATATTTTGTAAATGTGCATGCAAGGTTGAAGCGGAACAAGGTTCAAGGAAAACACTTATGCATGTAATCTGCATCAAACAGGTAACAGACACACTGCCATTGAGATTTCCTAACTACATTTTATGTAAAGAAGAGAGGAAAATGATATTAAAGTAACTACACTTTGGTTTCACACTGATACTGAAAATATGAAAACGATTAGAACTACATAAAAATTCCATGAAACTGATGATGCATTGAAAAAGTGTGTTGTTGTTTTTAATTTCTGACTACCTTCAGTGCCCACTTCTAGTGGCCATTTTTCAATAGGTAAAGTCTGAAGGATATCATACATCTCACAGCACTCTATTTTTCTCTATTTTCCATATGTATATATCTGTGTCTCCTACTTGACTAGGAGCTCCGACCCTAGGATTGTGCCCAGCTTCTAGTAAGTACTCCACTTTTGTTTTCTATTTAGTTTTGTGTTGGGCTCACTCTGCTGCCACTGCTCCTAAAAATGGTTGTTCTGATGTGCTTCAACTTTATCCATTTTATCCACAGATGCCCTAGAATTTTCTCGCTTGCCTCTAAGAGACTAGTTTTAAAGGTGGAAATCAGGACTGAAATGATAAAGTTGCCATGGGGCTAGGTGGGGTTAAAATCTAAGAACTTGGATTTCTGTCTGCCAATAATTAGTGGAAAGACTTTAGGTAATTCTTCTTGTGGTAGAGCCACTCCCTAAGGAATGTGGTGAAAACCTCAAGACAGGGGAAGGCAACCTGTCTATGTGTGCATGGGAGACATTCCTCATGACTCTGTAACATGAGACCACCCAATCAGACTGTATGTTACTATATATGGGAGACAAGGGAGCAAAAATTGTACACAATGCTACACCCCACTGCACTTGGGCTCAGCCATTTCAGCTATGGCCGAGCCCATGCCAACACAACAAATTTGCTTCCTGCACAGAAAAGCCTCAGTGTCCCGTCTCTCTGTGCAAGAATCCTGCTACATCCTAACCTCTCTGGGCTTCATGTTCTCTGTAAAATGAGGGTTTTGCTCTACATTTAGTTATCTTCAGGGTCCCTCCTCATCTTCAACCTTTTGAGCTCTCTACTCTTCCAGTCTTCCAACCCCACCCTCAACACCCTCGTTGCCAAGCACAGGACTAAGAAAATAAGCTTAGATGGGATCACTCAGAGTTCATGGCTCATAACATTCAAAATCCAATCACAAAAGGCCTTTCTAACCTGATCATTTTTTAAACTACAGGTAAAAGGTCGAAATCCAAGTACAATTTTTAATGGGTAAGCACTAAATTGTCCTACCTTTAAGTGATGCTCCAATTCAGAAACAAGTTTCTCCTCCAAGATTAATTACCACTGTCTGACACTATTATCCATTGAAATGTTCTATAAGACCACAATACCAAGAGTTTCAAAAAGTGTCACACACCAGCAATTCCTATTACTGAAAACATGAAGATGACAATTGAATATAGAGGGAGGGGGGAAGCTGCCCCCAGGTGGTTTTTCTGAGCTTAGCTTGCACCTCAACAGGGGATGATGAAAGCTGGCACTGACCTTGGCAGGACTACCCAGAACATCTTTCTATTAAGTTAAGGTTTCCTTTAAAATGCTTTGGAACAGAGGAAATAGAGAGGAATTCTGTTGTCAACAACCAAATGTGCTGCTTAGTGTCACCTTTTCAGTTTCATGACATACACATTTGCATAGCAATTGCTTGAGAAAATCTTTCTTTTCCCTTCTAATTGGATTGAATTGCTCCTAGATCTTTCTTCTAGTCCCAAAAGTGATAATGAGGGGGTGGAATATCTTAAACTAAAAGGTAGAATTATTTAAAGCACTCACTTTGGATTCCAAAGCCACTGTAGGTGTTTCCTCTTTCTCACTCTCTCTCCTTCCTCTTTTCCTCCCTCCTTCTCTTTTCTTCTTTAATGAGTTTCCTGGGGTATATTTTTCCTTACGGATATCCAATAATTTTGTTTTCACGTTGTCTTTGGGTGTGTGATTGGTCATGTGTGGCACTGAGCTGTGCTAACGTACAGATCAGTAGGAGCCCCTGCATTAGGAGAACCTCACAGTTTTTATAAGCCTTCTGACACCCATTTCTTGGGCTACACAACCCTGGGTGTGGAGAGGAGAAAAGAAAACTGTTTTGAGGCAAGATCTGTTCCTGGTACTTGGAGGAAACCTTTCTCAGGGCTCTTCACATGGCTTTGAAAAGGGAGAAGGCAAGCTGAGGGCAAAACACAAGCTAGCACACACTGCACTCCACCCCCTCAGATGGGATATGTATGACATTTATCAGGCATTTCTGGCTGCCCAAGAACAAAGGAAAGGAAAGAAAAGAAATGGTTACTTGATAGAGATCACAGACCTGCAGGAACTGAGTCTCCATCAGTTTACAAATATCTTAGTAAATTACAAGAAAAAGTCAATCTTATCAATACCCCAATCTCCAGAAACCCATAGACTCAGTTTCCTGGAGCTCTAACATCACCCTCCCCTCCACAGTGATGTGGGGAACAGAGGCAAGAAGGAAATGGCAGGTAAAATTAAATTTCCTTATAACCTGCAGCCCATTGACAAATACTTGAGGTAAATACAGAGTATACCATTTCTAGAAGGAACACAACCTTAGCTTGACAATAGCAAGGCCTCCAGTATCTTAAGAGTCTTCTTTAGCATATCAAAGTCCATCTGGAGGCCTCCCTTTTGCCTTTACCTCCCCTAACTCCACAGTATATAACCAGTCACTCTTCACAACCCCAGTGCAGCTCTTCCTGTCCAAGGGCCCTGTCCCCATGCTTTAATAAAATCATCTTTTTGCACCAATGGTATCTTCAAGAATTCTTTCCTGGCTATCAGCTCCGAACCCCCACCACTCCAAAACCCCATCAGCTTTATAGAACTTTTCTACCTTTTTCCCCTTCCTTTTTCTCTCCCCCTTTACCCCTTCTTACCCTCTCCCTTCTCACTCTCTGAGAATGCCAAAAAGAGATCATCTCAAATAAGGATATATGCAAAATAATAGGGTCCAGATGCAAACCAAAGGAGAACATCTTTTAGCATGAAAAGGGTAAGATCTTAAAGGGGCACATCAGTTATACACTCGGTTAGAGGACATTCCAAGGAAATGCGAAGAAAACCATTGTGGACAGGGACCAGAATTTTATATTCTTCATCACCCTCACAACAAATAAAAGTACCATCAACAAAGTAAGAGTGTAATAAAGAAACAAAACATAGCAATAAAGAAAGGTCAAAAAGAGTCTAATTTGACAGAGGATTCTTAAATGGGAAGAGGCAACTGTTCATTTAATTCCAATGTGCTTCTTGTTCCCATTTTAATAAAGGACAACGGTGTGGGGGGAGGGGGGCACAGGGGATGCTTTGAGTAACCTGAAGGGGTACAACACATTTATAGATGTCCAGTTCACATGATGGCCACTGCTCTTTTAACCATTTAACACCATGGGTGTCAGGGAATAGATTAGAGGAAAAATTTAGTTTCCAAAGATCTATTATTATATAGGGGCCAAGGGCCACCCACCCATGATAAGCCACTTCAGTGTAAAAGGTTATTTTGAGTTAAAGAATAATCAAAACCCAGTAGATTTAGGAAAAGCTCTGTATCTCCCCCTCAACTGCCTAAAAAGAATTTAGATGGAGAAGATGCTCCAGGAAGGAGCTGTCACCATAGATAACTACATTATGACATGAACCAGACAGGGAGGAACCCGGAAGACCTGTTTGATCAGTCTTCTACATCCCATTGTTTCCCTAATGGCTCAGTGAAGATTTGTGTACCAAACATCTACTCTTGTTCATTCCTCCTGAGGGTAGCATTCCTTCTCTTTGAAGACCCAGACCTCTGCTCCCTTCTCCTCACTTCAGAATGACACATGTACCTCATTTAGCCTGTTTTTGGAATTTCCATGTCTGTCTGAATTCTTTGTACATATGCTATGAAATTCGACTTTCTCCTGTTCATCGGTCTCATGTCAATTTGGTTCTTAGTTCAGCTACAAGGACCTCGAAGGGAACAGAGATTCTTGCTCCCTGACAATTTCATTATAGACCATATTAATAAAATGAATGCATCCTTTTTTCTCAGATTTCAAAAGGAACACATGTGCCTCCATTCATTTAATTTCTCAATTACTCATTTTACCATAAAAGATCAGTAAGTTAAATGCTTTGAAATAAAATTGAATTACCACTTCCCTTCAGTTGAAGTTTTCAATTTAATATTTCATAAGAAAGTTTATATTTTAATTCAAGGCTGTTATTAGAACAATAGGTGAGATAATGTCATTACAGGACAGGAAGGCAGATAGCCTCTACTTTCCTTGAAAGAATTGTTGAAAATAGTAATTTATTGAAAAGTATAATCTGAACTTCTATTCATTAAGAAAAAAATTAAGAAAAATTACTTTTTAATACAGAATACATTTATTTCGAGCATATACAGTTTCTGTATACTCTCATTAAAATCCAACATGAATATTATCCAATGCCTATTAAAATTAAACACACACATTTAGGTGTAGGCCTCCCCATGTGAATGCCAACACAGGACAAGCTATATACTGTCAAAGCCTCTACCATCAACTAGGTCATTCTTGCTTCTTCCAGATTGCTCCATGAACTACTGGCCAAGACAGATTTGTTGCCATTGACCATACTGCTGGCATGGAATGGGTAAATATTACTCACCAAAACTTCAGAGTTTTGGAGTGCTAAGGTCACTAATTTCATGTACAGCTGATGTGGTTTTGGAATGGTGAGGTCCCAGAGCTGATAGCCAAGAAAGAATTCTTGAGATGTCTTTGGTGCAAGAAAGGTGATTTTATTAAAACACTGGGATAGGACCCTTGGGCAGAAGAGTTGCACTTGGGTTGTGAAGAGAGGCTGGTTTCATACTATGGAGTGAGAGGGGTAAGGACAAAAGGGAGGCCTCCAGAAGGACTTTGGTATGCTAAAGAGGACTCCAAAAAATTCCAGGGGCCTTGCTATCCTCTAGCTAAGGTTGTTTTCACTCTGGCAAAGCATTAACATTACCACAGTATGGAGTTCCTGGAGAAATGGTGTAGTCTATATTCACCTCAAGTATTTGTCAATGGGCTGCAGGTTATAAGGAAATTTAATTTTACCTACCACTTCCTTCTTGCCTTTGTTCCCCACATCACCAGGGAGGGAAGGGTGATGTCTGGGCTCCAGGAAACTGAGTCTACAGGTCTCTGGAGATTAGGCTATTGATAAGATTGCCTATTATAATTTACTAAGATATTTACAGACTTTTGGGAGACTCATGTCCGGCAGGACTGCCATCTCCATCAGTTAACCACTTATTGTCTTTCCTTCATTCTTGGGCAGCCAGGAATGCCTGAGGAATACCACACATATCCAACCTGTGGGGGTGGGGTGTGTGCTAACTTGTGCTTTGCCTTCAGCCTGCCTTATACTCCCTCATCACAGCCAAGGCTTGTTTTCCCCCCTCTTTTATTCCTTCATATGTATGTATGTATGTATGTATGTATGTATGTATGTATATGTGTATGTATTCTATCATATATTTTATCTATTCCCACTATATCCCAACCCTCCTTCTTGTGAACATTTTTTATCGCCTCTTCTTACAGTATTTGGCATACGTGTTCATTGTAGGTGATTAATAAATAATCATTGTTTATTTTGTGTATGTGCCAAGCTGCAGTTAGGTTTAAGGTAATCTCACATACTGTAATTGTTGCAGGACATTTTTAACACAATACTCAGGATTTGTTGTCTTGTCGCTTTGAAGAACCAAGAGGTGGATGCAAAATGAGCAGCAGGCAAGTTTATTAGAGTCTAAGATCAGAAAGTAAGCATAATAGGAATGCTCTCTTTACAGAGAGGGAACACTTGAAAGTGTCTATAAGCAAAACTATAGGCAAGGTTCCTTGTTTTATAAGGTTCTGGTCACCCCCCTCTTCCCTTCCCCTTCATTCCTTTTCAGGTTCTACCCTTACTGGCAGGACAACTCTACGTGCTGGATTGTCCATTCCTGATTGGCTTGACTCCATTGTGTGAGAAGTCAGACTATGTCATACCGTCCCTCCTGTAAGTTTTCCTATAACATAAGTTTTATGGTTTAGCTAGGTATTTTTTACTGTCAAATTCCTGAGGGGGACCTACAGGGAAGGGTGTGGTGTCTGTTACATTCTTAAGAGGAACCTTATGCTTGAGGAGGCTTACTATGGTGGACACTTCCCATATTGTTCCAAAATATATGGTTTTCCCCCACCCAGAGACCTCAGGTCCTAACCTCTTTCTCTCTCTCTCTCTGCTTATTTTATTCTATCTTTTCCTATCATATAATCAGAAAATAAGAATGACAAAACGTCATTATTATCTAGCCTTTTAATAGCAGATTTAGGAGTTTAGATTTGATGAAGTGCAGAGCTCCTATTGGAACTTGAATAATGATACTTGGTATCAAATACACTTTGTCAAAGATGTTTCCTGCAATAGGCCATAGATGTAATTTTTCTTTTAAAATATTTTAGAAAACTGTGACAATAAAAGAAGCTCTAATTATTTCTTTGTCCCAGGAATCAAGCACTACTCTAAATTCCTGAAACTGACAACATCCAGCCAATAAGGTTAACAAGAGGTCAGTACCAGCCAATAAATGTTTGAGTTGCTTCTGTATCCACTCCCCCCATACACAAACCTACCCTCACCACAATGTCCCAGGAGGCCAAGCAGAGCAAATGTTAAATCCTGCTTGCAGCATCCTAGTTAAGGAGCCTCGGTTTCTCATCAAAAACAAATTCCCATGGGAATTTGACCAAATTCAAATGACCAAAAATTAAAGTAGCAAAGGCAACCAAACTTTGGAGGGGATATTTAGATACAATTTTCTGAGACCAGATTTTTTACTTTGGATTCTACTTGTTTTTGTTCATACTTAGAAGAAAGCTTCAAAGAGAAAAGGAGAGGATACATGTGGCTTATGCGTGCCTAGGAAAGAAGTTTCCTTTTAATAACACACCATTTCTTATGAAAACCAATAGGTCAGGAAAACAAAATGTTAGGGAGTGTTGTATAAGAAAGGATTTGCCTGAGGGGCGCCTGGGTGGCGCAGTTGGTTAAGCGTCCGACTTCAGCCAGGTCACGATCTCGCAGTCCCTGAGTTCGAGCCCGCGTCGGGCTCTGGGCTGATGGCTCAGAGCCTGGACCCTGTTTCTGATTCTGTGTCTCCCTCTCTCTCTGCCCCTCCCCCGTTCATGCTCTGTCTCTCTCTGTCCCAAAAAAAATAAATAAACGTTAAAAAAAAAAAATTAAAAAAAAAGAAAGGATTTGCCTGATGTTCATCCTGAGTTCCTGGAAGGGAGCATCTAAGCTTTTGAAATTTACATACAAGTTTCACACTTGGGTCTCTCTGAGACCTCACCCTACATGTCTCTTCACTGACTAGTCCTGATCTGTCTCCTTTATAATAAAACTGTAATCATAATTATAGCACTCTGAGTTCTTAGTCATTCTAGCCAATGATAGGACCTGAGGGGATAGCAGAGGACCCTGAATTTATAGCCTGGGAACCCTGGAGTTTGCAGCTGGTGTCTGAAGTGAGGGGAGTTTTGTGCAGGACTGTGACCTCAGCCTGCAAGGTCTGCACTAACTCCAAGTAGTTAGTGCCAGAAGGGTAACTAGCAAGCTCAGAGGAAAATATATATATATATATATATATATATATATATATATATATATATATGAAGCTTAATTATTAATTCCCATTCATAACTTAATTCAGCTTTTTTAAATCACCCAGCTAAAAACATTTTAACTGGAGCATTTATTCCATTACCACGTGCCATGTCACGTTGTATTATTCACGTAGCTGTATCTTTTTTATCTGCTCCTGCCTCCCCACAAAAATGGAATAAATAACTCAATCTGGACTATAGTAATTTTGTGATAAGTTATTCTGATAACTGCGATTGTGAGCGCCGGCCATTTATAATAAAAATAATAAACTGTCAGTGTGACCTAAGCCACAGAACTTTAACTCATAATTCTTGATCTTCTTATTCCTGTATTGAAAAGTATCAATCCTCCATCTACTTGGAAATCCTTTTCAATGGTCTCATGATTATATTTGATTTACTCAGCAAACCTAGCCTCCCTTATAAAGTTAACTGAAACTAAGTTCTGCATATATAAGCAAATGTCAGCATTCCCAGATCTTCTTTAGGCCAGTACCTATGTGCATTATTTGTACAGCCAAAAATTGGGGTGATCAACAAATTTTTAAAATTCTATTGACAATTCAGTAAAAGAATACAGTGTCTTTCTCCATCAATTAGCAATGATCTAAATTAACAATAACCCAATCTAAACTCTAATTTCATTCCATTTTCATTCTAAGTAAACATCTTAACTAACTTTTCACTTAATATAATTTACCAGCAATGACTAATCAGTATATCACACAAATTTCTCCTGATGTAATTCTTCCTAACATAATTCAATTTCTCCTAATATAATTATTATTAAATTTTTCTTCCTGTATCAAATCTTTAACCTATCACCTTTCTAACTCTAATTCTGTGTATGTGCGTGCGCACATGTGCACATGCTTATGCACACACATGCACAACAATTCTCTAAACCATATACCTTCTATAGCACTTGAAACAATGAGGGGGTAGCAGACGTTAAAACAAATCTTTTAAGTTACTAATGTGGCAAAATCCCCCACTCTTAATACCAGGTCCCTACAGCAACAACAACAAATACAGTAACAACAAAGGTCCTCTTTAATACTCCAAATACTTCGTTTTAAAATGCAATAAATCAGTAATTCTGGTAAGAACACTGTCACTTACCAAAGATTCCTGATGTCTTACTTGCTCTTTATTGGCATTCCCTAGGGTAGCCACTTCTCAAGAAGTGGCCTTTAAATGATAGCTAATGGCTTTCAAAAATTTTTTCATTAAATATTTCAGCCATAGTACACTGCTCACCAAACTCCTCTGACTCAATAGCTCTTATGTACAAACTTCTTTCTTTTCCATCTCAGTGGCAGATAACCATGAGTCAATCTCAAAACTTTACGGGCACATACTACTATGAAAAAAGCAAGGACTTGAAATCAGAGGCAGGTTGTACAGTATGTATGAGACCAGGGAGTGCCCACAGAGAAACAAGCCAGTTTTTGGAGAGTCTGATGGCAAGAAAGCTTAAGAAATTATCAGTTACAGCAAAGCTGTGATGGGAGACCTCAAGCCCAGGCAACAGCATATTCTTTCCTTTAAGCCTCAGTTTAAAAATAATTGTGATCATTAGTCAAGAGGAGGGAATAGGCATAAGTATATAAGAAACTGAAATGATATTTTGACCTCTTCTTTATAAGCTGAAAATATTATTAGCCAACTCCCATAACAAAATGCATAGCACCACCTATAGGAGTTGAGAGCCTTATGTGACTTTTGACTCTGAAAGTGTCAGAGAGAACTATTATGCAACGTTTTGCAAATTTTCAGTTAAAGTAAAATGAGTATCAGACATCTCAAAACACTAAATTAATTTGCACATAGTAGTAACATCAAGAAATTTACCTTTAGTACTATATGAACCATTGTATACTTACCATATAAAAGCCCATAACGTTGAGAAACTCCAGTTATTTGGACTGATATACAGGTCATCCTGATTTAGGACAAAACTGATACTATAAACTACCATTTTAAAACTATACAGTTACAATAAATACTGGGGAGAAGAAATGCTAGCTCTTCTAGGTCCCTGGAAGGCCTGTTGTAATAAATCACCAGCATGAAGTTAGGGGACGGTCCCAAGACCACCCTCACTTCTGACACCAATTGCAATTTCAGGGTTCCCAAAATCATCCTCAGGTTTAATAATTTTCTAGAAGGACTCAAGTAAGTCATTCAAAGCTGTTATGCTCACAGGTATGGTTTATAATGTGGAAGGATACAGATTAAAATCAACCAAGAAACATGGAATGGAGCCCAGAAAAGTCACACACACACACACACACACACACACACACACACACA